CCGCAGCCGCGCGGGGGGAGAGCGGCCGGGCCGCGTCCCTAGCGAGGCGTTTGCTTGGCTTGGGAAACGGAAGGCGGGAAGCGGATGGCTTCAGCTGTGTTTTTTATCTGTGTTTCACTGATATCAGTTGCACTTAACTTTCTTTTTTCCAAGTGTCGGCTGGCGGCCCCACAGTTTCAGTTTATGCTCAGACCCTCTTTCTTAGCTGCAAGGAGTATAGTTAGGCTGCGCGAGGCCTCACGGACCTGAAACTGCATCCACGTTCTTGACAGATGCAGCTTTTCCAGGGGAGCGTTTTTTAAAGTGGAAAATAAGTCAAGTCAATAAGTCAAGTCTTCCAATAGGTTATCAGGAGCATTTAACCAGATTTACCTTGTAACTTGCTGTTTACACTGGAGAGGAGTATTGACATGAAAAGTAAGGAATGTATTAGCAAATATTCATTTGCCCCGGGGCAATGGCAGTAAAGCCTTGCACAAGTGCAGGCGTTTTCTGAGCTCATGGTATGTGATTTGAAGCTTTTGACCAGATACTTGCATTGCTGTGAGCCTGGGAAGGCTGTTACCTCTGGGGAAGGTAAAATAACAAATTGGCCTAATGCTCTTTGGAAAAAGAGGTAAGGGCAGGCAGCGCAGGCCTGTCTGAGGGAGGAGGCAAAATGATGTAGATACCAGATGGAGTAGAAAACTGGAAGAAGGAGGAAACTCTCTGTCACCTCAGTGTACTGATGGGGTTTTCCTCGCTGCTTGCTCCCTGTGTGCCATGTATTTCTCTCAAATTGTTTTCAGTGCATCCTATTAAAATAGAACACTTCAGGTAGCCCAAAAGGTTCAGCAACTCTCTATAGAAAGTTAGCTTCTCTTTAACGTAGTGATGGGCAAAAAGTCCACAGCTGTGATCCCTGTGAGTCTAGTTTAAGAGGTTTTTTGTGCACATAGGTTTATTCACTGCTTCAAGAGTGATCACCTGGCTTTCACTTCTTTGGATGCCATCTTGACACAAAAGGCATGTAAATTAGTTGTAATAAGACTCCTTGCTCCCGTTAATGCTTGTATAATATGTTGAGCTGTTGGGTACTTACGCACAGAGCATCACCATTGCAAAACAAGCACTGGGCAACGCTCCCTGGGTCCCAGCTGGTGCGGGACAGGCTCTGCTGTAAGAGGGGCCAGGAGGGGTGGGAAAGGCGGTGATTTGTTCCTCTCTGGGGTTTTTCCCTAGCAGCAGTGAGAGCAAGCATGCATTTTCCCACGCTGAGTGCTTCAAGCCCTGGTGAGCTTTAAAATCCTTCAGTCCCCGGTCCCTTTCTCTGCTGTGGTTGCAGATGTTTTCCTGGGGTTTGACAATGGAAATAACCTCTTCGCTCCTGTTTGTGGGCTGTCTGGACTGTTTCACTTTCTGCTGCCCTGGAGCATGCTCTAAAATTCACTTTGTCTAACCACGCCGAAACTGTATCACACAACTTGTAAGGTCTAAAAGTGAAGCCTTGAGTTGGAGCTCCTTTTCTGATCCTCGCTGGTCCTTTGGATGTGGCAGGCCTGGGCCTTCGGCAGCAGCTTTCCCAGGAGATGTACAGACACTTTCCTCACCCTTAGTGCTGCGCGCCTGGTAATTTGGGAAGCGATGGCAAGCGGGACAGGGAAGCTCTGAGCTCGTGAACAGCAGACGATCGCCTTTTGCCGGCACCCTCGCAGGAGAGCCTTGAAGAAACCACGCAGCTTCCTCTGCCTGCTCTCCTCCCCTCCAAAACCTGCGGCGGACTGATGCAATGAGATGCGGTCTGCGGAGGAGGGATGCCGGAGGGAGGGCCGCGGGCGGGCGGCGCAGGCTCCGCTGGGTTCGGGCCCTAGACGCCCGGCTCTGACGGGAAGGCGAGCAAGGATCGCTTGCAGGAGTGAGGGCTGCAGGCTCGCTCTCTTGCAGCACGCGCCAACGCGCGGCACGACCTGCCCAGAAGCTGCGTGTGCGTGAAGCTGCCGTCGGTTGCTCTGCCACCGCCGGGACCGCTTCCAGCGTCTGTCCAGAAGCGGAGATCTGCCCAGGAGCTCTAATGGCAGCGTTTAGGCTCCGGTTTCCCTTGTGTTTCACGGCACTGCTGTGCCCTGTGAGCCGTTTTTGGAACTTTTTTCTGCTCCTGTTTAAGAATTCCTCTCATACCTGAGATATTTGCCAGGAAGTCATGTACTGCTTTTGCTATGATTTAGATAGCTCAGCAAATTAAATTCCCCTCACTAGGGTTACCTTTTAGATTTTAATGGGGAAGTTTACTGACTTTCTCACCGCACCAGCTACTCCAGCAAGGAATACTAGCTAAAGCCGTTTCTGCTGTGAAACAGTATTAAGGCACTTTCTGCTGGTAATCCGTGCAAGCTTTAGGGCTGTAGATCTGTTTTGCTGGGGAGCGAAGGGAGAGTTTTGCTCCTCTTGCTGTGTTTCTGAAGCCCTTTCTGCTTGCTCCCGCTGGTCCGTTTGCAGCCGGGGCTCTGGCAGCTCCGGCACCGATTTGTGGCTGTCCGAAAGCCCCGGCTGGTTTCCCC